CAGGTAAGGTTGGGTCCTCCCCTCCTGGACATCCCCCTCCCCCGTGATGGACAGCAGAGGAGCCAAGGTCTACCCGAGGCCCCTGAGCCCGGGCCAGGCACTGCCGTATGTTCCCGCCTTCTTCCCAGAAGCATACATGTCAGGACCCGACCCCCAAGGCCCCGTCCAGATCCCCACACGGCACGGGGCTGGCCAACCCCACACCCCAAGCCCCCAGGCCCCCACCCAGACCTACTCAGGGGCATTACAGCCGCCAGGCAGCGACCCATGGCCACCGCCAAGACCCCCAAGGGGCCCCACTCACAACCGCCAGTAGTCCACCCCCCGTAGCAACCCAAGCACCTCCAGAGGGATGCAGCAGCCCCCAAGCCCCAGACACCCCCCAGAGAACCCACCCTCAGGGAACGTCCGGATACTCCAAACTCAGATCCTCCACCCCATCACCCCGTAGGACAATATCAATTTTCTAATATTTCTAGGACCAGATGTCTTATTTTGTCCACAACTTCCTTCTCTGACATTATTGAGTGGAGAACCTCTCACACCAATGGTGTTCTGTTGTAAAATGTGTGCGTGTGTAATGAGTGGAGGAATTACTTCAGTTGTTTGGTGAGCCCGACAACCGGATGGTCCAATCGTTTTTGGATAGAGTACAGGACGATCTTGACAACTTTTTCTGTCTCAACATGGCTGTTATCAATGTGCAACATACATTTTGATTTATTCCTATTTAACAGAAAGCCCCAGACCAGGGGTATTCAATTCCCGGAAGGCCAGTATCCAACGTGTTTTACTTTTAACTCTGTTTCAATACACCTGATTTCAATCAGCAGGTGATTCAGGCATCAGGCTTCTGAAGAGCCTGAAGAGCTGCTGCACAGGTGATTCAACCACTGAATTAAGTGTGTTGGAGCAGAGAAACCACTAAAACTTGCTGGATACTGGCTGTCCAGGACCGGAATTGAATACCTCGGCCCTAGAACCTTCCCTCATGAAAAATAAATGACTTTCAAAAATCTGGAGGTCAACAATTATTTTGTTTTAAGGAAAGTTGGGCCGATCTATTTGTAAACAGAACGCTGTGGTCGCGCTGAAGCAGGAGTTACATGCAATGAGCAGAGCCACAACATTATTCACATCACCTGTGGGTGATGGTGAAAACGGCGAAATCCTCAGTGACTGAAAAGTGGTGTAAGTCTTCATTAATCAGTGTCCTTATTAATTCTTTTATTTATTATAATGACTGTGGGTTGAGACACCAGAAAGTGAAAACGACATGAGTGGATTTAAAAATACATGAAGATGGATATTTCTAAAGACATCTTCTCTGATTAACCAATGCTTGGTCACAAGGAATCCAGACTTACTTCGTGGTCCTTTGTGGAGAAAATTACAACAACACTTTTTGTCAAGCCCACAGGCCTAACAATCAACAATACAGCAAGAGTGATCCAGCTGCTTCATTGAGTCCTCCTCCAAACGTGCAAAACAATCGAATTATAGACAAAACGTTGCTTAATCCCATGATGCAATGTGATAGACATAAACGTAGACAAATGTGTTGGAACTTTTTTGTTTAAACTGTTACGTGCCTCGCCCCTTTTAGGCCACAAGATGGCTTCAGTGGCTTCTGCCTCGCCTGTCTCCCGGTGCCCAGCTGTTCTTAATCACTGATAATCACTAGACAGCTGTTAAAAGCTGCTTGCCTGCCCTCAGTCTGGGAGAAGGTACAGGGAAGTGTGGGCACGAAGGTGTTCAGGCTTCTCGCTCCTCGTGTGCTCGTGTGATTTGGTTGGAGGTACTTAGGTGGTTTTGAGTCTCGTTCGGTAAGATTTTTGGTAAACTTTGACTTTGGACTGGCCTTCGACTCCGCTTTTGGATTTCCTCCGAGCGTCGCTGCTTAACAGGGCGTCTCTCGTTAGTTTAGTGTAGTGTAAATAGTGAATATTTCAGTTAGTTAGTTTCCCTCCTCCCAGACCTTTTGGCTTGGTGCTTTTTGTTAGTCTTTTTCCGTTTTGTACATATATCGGCTCTTTGAGTTTGTTTAATAAAATCGTTTGTTGGAGACACATTTACTCTGTTATTAAACCTACACACAACATTGTTTACTCCCTCTTACACATCTCTCCTAGTGAGCTGAGGGACGTAACATTACCTATATCCACAAAATATTTATAACTATACTATGTTAGAATGTTGTTAATAGGCATGAAAAACTGTTTTGCAGATTTGCTTTTATAGCTTAAGTTAAACAAGTCCTTCTGACTGTATGAACCAGTAAGGATGACAGTCCCTAACTGTGCTGTGCTGTTAAATTAATCTAGGAAATCTAGGACCTTTTTTTCTATTAATGTCTTAATTAACTATTATTATTAACTATTAATATTATGTCAGTGGACTCCCAGTGAGGTGGCTGAAGTTGTTACAGATATGCTGTTTGGTAATCTGTGCATGAGGTGTCTTAAGGTGTCCTGTGAACACAGTTAGGCTATGTTCACACTGCAGGCCTTGATGTTTAGTTCCGATTTTTTTTTTTTTTTTAGTAAATCTGATTTTTCATGTGGCTGTTCACACTGTGACCGAAATGTGACATCAAACTCTCTCCAGTGTGAACGCTCAAAAAGCGCACCAAAGCGACCTGCATGCGCAGAAGAAGTCACAGTCAGCCGAAACAGGAGCGGTGGAGTTGTGGTGTGGTCCTGGTCCTGTGGATAAACTATCAGTGAAAACTTTCACACCTGTTAATTCTTCTGTTTTGGGCTGGAAAATGTTTAAAAAATGTAAACTTTTGTACTTCTTGTTCCTGCCATCTTGCTGAAGTATTATTTACCGAAAATGTTCCGGTATTAATGCATTCACGGAGAATGCCCCTTTCACGGAGACCGGTAAATCACTTCGCTCCAACAGCACCTCCAGCTCCCATTCACATTATTTCTTGTATTTTTAATTTGAAAATCTAAAACAGGATATCCAGACAACATCCACGCACAATGCTCACCTCCGCTGACTCAGTGATGTAAGACGGATTTAATGCAACATGACCGTTGTAGCGTATTTCTACATACTAGAATCAACACTGTTTGCTATCAGTTGTTAGATTCTGAGAATGATCAAGCACATTAGCACATGAAGCTTATATCATGTATAAATATCCAGGATATTTATATAATCGATAGAAGTTCATACATCAACCTGCTTGGTCTATATTTAATCCAAAGATTAATGTTTAATTTAAGATAATTAAATTTTAATAGCAAAAGTTTATTTATTTAATCAGAAGTTAGGAATCTTTGCTTTTTCAATAACCAGAAATATTTATACCATTCTGTGTTTCATTTCAAAGATGAGGCAAAGTTTAAAAATGAAGAATTTATTACTAACAATTTGAAACTTGATGATTTGAAATGACAATTCATGGATGACAGTTTACCAGCTTTGATATTAAACTTGGTATCAAAAGCTTTACCTGTGTCTGGATGGAAAGCTAAAATGAAATGAGAGCTTGGATGCGTGAATGGATTCTCAGAAGGTTTCTTTCAGAGAAAGGAACTCGTTCTGGGTGAAATGATGGTTTTGCAGCTAACCGTTGTTACTTAGAGAACAGCATCAAACACAATCTGTGTGCTACCTCACCCGTTCAGACGACCCTTCGTGCGGATCCGGAGGTCAAGGGAGGATATTGTCAGCCTCCGGGTACACAGTCTGGTAGAGGAGACACGAGTGGAACCGACTCTCTGGTCCGAAGATGTTGCAGGGTACACAGTCGAGCGCCTGGCTTAACTCTGAAGGAGTTTTGCGTCTTCCTTAACTCAAAATCAATAACTCTGAAGGAGTTTTGCGTCAGCTGGTTATCGTGCGTTTATTCGAAGCTATTCTATCAGCGTGACAGAACAGCAGGTGGAGGTTCAGGGCGGCCATTCCCTTATCCTCAGGATGGTGGTTGGTTCACGAACCGAAATTTTGCTGCTGAAGAGTTAGTTTTAACAAACCAACAGAACACGCCCACTCTCAGAGCAAGAAAGCTTTGGTCATGAGTCAAAGACATGTGATAGCAGTTTACTTTTACCCTGTGGTACCCTCTGTGTAAGGCTGGTTACGTGCAAATGACCTTCTGGTTTACTGAATACACATTACTGATTATCATGAATAATAATTATTATTATACCCAAAGCATATCAATTCATTTCAGTAATTAAAATACATTTATAATGAACCAAAAGATTATGTATAATGATTATAATAAACAGTAATAAAGTCAGAGAGTTTATTAAAATTATTATTTAAATTATTATTGTGATATTGAAGTGTCCTTCAATCTGGGACAGAACAGCAGCAGATATAGATGATATTCAGCAGACATCATGGCTCCTCGCTTGTTTAATCTGTGGGGCAAAGTTACAGTCGACCCAGCTGACCTAGCTGGGAAAATGTGACCTATGTCACAAATTAGAGGACCTTTGTGACGCTACACTGTTCAGACTGCAGTCGCTTTCAAACACATCAGATATGTATCAGTACCACATATTCAAGTGACACGGATCACATTTAAAAAAACTGGATCTGTGCATTTAGACAGTCATAAAAAACTCAGATATGGCTGCATGTGGGGAGAAAAGCAGATTTAATGTGTCTTTGCCTGCAGTGTTATCATAGCCTTAAGCTTGGTTTATGCTTGACGCGTCCGCGAGGTTCGCACCTCTCCGCGTGGCAAAATTGCGTCATTTTAACATCCATGCCCCTCCACCGCGCCTCCGCACGGCCCAAACTTTCCGCACCGCGCACCTAGGAAATTTTCTAACCACGCAGACGGTCGGACGCAGAAAAACATGGCAGACTGGCAAGAACTAGTATGGCAGAGGTTCGTAAATACAGACTTTTGTATGATTCAGCTTTCAAAGATCACCGTAATTAACAATTTGTTAATAATTCTTGGAGAGAAATAGCTCGCACCGTCGGAAAAGACGAGGACGCTGTTCTAAAATGCTGGAATGCCGCTGTCGCTACCCGATCCGTACCGGAAACCCGATCGGTACCACGCATGCGCGAATGTTACGTCACTTCCTCTCTTTGCCAACTTTGCGACAGTTACCGACTGCGGGACGTTTAAACAATGAATACCTCCGAAACCAACGAAATTCATGATTTTTTCTCCTCAACGGAGATCTTCCGACGATTGAACAAAAGCGCCGTAAAATAAGAAGAGTGGCGCCTAATTACAGACTTAAAGGTAAGTACGAAAATTAAAGATGATCTTTTATCATGGTCTACAGCTGCCCTTGCTGCTTGAGGGTACAGACTCTCCGTTATTGTTCTAAAGTTGCATGACGCCTGCGTTGATTCAGGAGGGTGTAACGAGTAATATCAGTGTACAGTGTATACGTGTAGCATCGTCTGTAATATCGAAACTCTATATATAGGTCTACATCTTGGTGTGTGGTCTTATTTTAGATTTTTTTAAAAATCGTAAATACATTATATATATAGCCGATACATTTTTTTAAAGATAATTGCAATTGGAGGTAAATGTACCATATTGGTGCTGATCTCAAACTTTAATATCTGTCAGACATTTCAATTTACTTTAGTCAGCAACTCTCATCTTTTTTTTTTTTTTTTCATTTTTATCTTGTTCCAGACAACAGACTCTTCTACACTGGCCCCAGTATGCAGAGCATGCGCCTGCTAGTCATGTCAGAGGAGGAGAAGAAGCCTGTTTTGATGGAGTGCCACAATAACCCTGGTACCGGGAACCACAATGGTGTCAGAGGTACCCGAAACATGGTTGTTGCTGGCTTTTACTGTCAACATTGAACCAGGACATCAGTGAATGGGTAATGGCCTTATTTGAGTGAAGAAGCTAAATCAGGTCGTCATAATTTTTTCTAAAACATCTGTAGGCTGAATAATTGAATGTGTTTACTTGCACACTTACATTTCAACATTAGTTTCTGTCTTTTTATTTTATTATCAATTTACACCAACTGCTTTAGGGTTTCCTAGACATATTGTTTGGAATACGCCTTTCAGGTCAGATGTTGTCATCGCTGCCAGATGAATGACCCAATCAAGACCGTGGCACCAACATTACATCCCATCAAGGTACATCTTAAAGCTATTTACATTTAATTTTCAAGTTAATAAGCTTGTCTGCTGCAGGTTAGCTTTAAATTTTCACTTGATAAGTTCTGTGACCTGCAGGTAAGAGAACCTTGGGAGTTGCTGGGCATGGATTTAATTGGACCACTCCCAGAAACACGTCTAGGGAACCGATATGTCCTGACTATGACCGTTCTGGGTGATTGCAGAACCTCTTAAGTCCAAGACTGCTGCTGAGGTCTCTGCAGTCATGACGTCTAAGTTATACATGTTTGGCATGGTGAGGAAGATCATCACTGACCAAGGAAAGGAGTTTGTGAACCAGGTAAAATTTGTGAAAGTGTTAGTCGTACCTTGACATTTGAGATGATGTATTTAGACCAAGTCTGCTCATGCCACTGCAGCTCAACGACAGCATTTTCAGCATGCTGAATATTAAACATGCTGTCTCCAGTGCTTACCACCCCCAGACCAACAGGCAGGTTAGCATTTGGATATCTAACCTTGAGTAACTCATGGGAAATCAGTCATGCTTCTTTATCTATTCTGCAATACAACTCAAGGATGAGAGGACCAACCAGAACATTAAGCGTGCTCTCAGAAAGTACGTGAACCAGAACCATGACGACTGGGACGTTCACCTTGCTGCTGTGGTGTACGGCATCAACACTGCAAAGCAGGTATTCCTATTTTGACATTTTGTATGACTTTTACGCTGCTTCACAGTGTAGCATCGTCTTAAGAATGTTTTTAATTTTGTTTATAAAAAAAAGAAGTTATTGACAAGTGCAAGAGAAAATGAATTAATGGAGAGATTTTGTGTGATCAGCACTCCACCCGCCACAGTGCCTATTTCCTGCTCTTCTACCGACATCCACGTCTTCCTGCTGTGATGAACACCTGTCCCATGGACGATGACTTTGAGGTTGCAGACCCAGAAGAGGACATCGACACAAGAGTTGAGGAGATGATGGTTCTGAATGAAACAGTCTGTACATTTGAAGAGGGCTGACTGACAGGGAAAGGAGACTTGTTGAGGAAAAAAGGGGAAATGTGGTTAGTGTATTCAACATTTTTACTGCTTTAGTAGCTAACTTTTCTGTATTTCTATATTTCCAGAATGAGCATTGCCATGGCGACCTGGTGAATAATAAATATGTATATTTCTCTCTCTGCTTTTCATGTAATATTTTTGTAGGTTCTTCGCAATATTGAGAGGGCACAGGACACCCAGAGGAAGACCTTTGGAACACGGAAAAGGAAGCTAGTAAGGCAGTGTGTTGTTCAAGCAGGCGATGACGTGCTTCTGTCAGGAGAAAACAGGAAGAGACCTTGAGGTATGTTTTCAGTGCAAAAGTTTGAAAGCTCATCAGGTGCATCATAATGCAATTAACAACTAGCAGGTGCATGTCAGCTCTCCTCATTTAATGAAACATGTTTCTTTTTACAGTTCTTTCCCCAGCAGTTCATGGGAAATTGCTGCGGCATCTTTATGCTGATGGTGAGAATTTTCTTGCCATTATTTGAATATAACATTTTAACATGTTAAAGATTGATTTTACTTTACAGTATGCTCTCTGCATCTGCACCTCATCTCCACCATCTTTCACAGAGGTAAGCTTTTTCAGACAGTACCACCAAAGTATCTGTGCCAGTCTCCAGTCTTCATAAACCTTACATTATATTTGTCTTCAGGAGGAAATGCCAGCAATTCGCCTGTGGTGGTGTATTCAGCTGCTGGAGAGATTCGGCATTGAGGGGTATGGCAGGCACTTTAGACAAACTGGCACCATCATATTTGCAGCTTTGGTTCAGGCAAGACATCAGGTCAAACAGATGTTTGTGAAAGTGGCTTACTGTAAACCCTGTGACCGAACATACTGAAGAAAGCAACAGTCCACAACTAGAGTCCATTCAGACTGGCGTTGTTTTCTAAAGGCATGGACAAAAATTTGCCTTCTGGACAGAAGAAGCATCCCTTCTCCTCCAGGGGACTCTCCAGCCTGTCTTCAGGGTACCAAAGGCAACCTCCTCCAAGCCTTCACCAAGTCTAATCAGACCGGTGAGAGAGGACAACAATCAGATAACTATTTGTAGGACAGAACCACACAATGTTGAGACTATTCATCACAATGCAGGTTTACATACATGGTGGTAGTCTTCATTTCAGTCTAATGTGATAATCATGTTTTCTGTTAAAGGCTGAGGCTGACAGGTGTCTTATACTGGAGGTAATCTATTGATTTTCCTGTTTCTTTCATTTGTTGATATAACTGAATTAGTAGTTATAGTCACAGGCAGCTCCTTCAGAGACATTATCCAGTAGTAGAATGAAGTAATACAGGGTGTCCGCGGGGTTTTAAAAAGTATTAAAAAGTGATAAATACAAATAGTCAAATTTAAGGCCATTAAAAGTGTTAAATTTGGTCTCAGAGGTATTATTTTTTACAAATTAGGTATTATTTTTTTCAGACTATCAGGTGTCGTATTCTGAACATCGACATAGAAATATATTCCGAATGAAATGTTTTGAACGATTATACAAACAAATAAAGCCGATTATTTGCTCCTCCCGCTTGCGCTGCCCTGAGTTGCAAATGAAGCGCTCCTCCCACAGTGTTGCCAACTTGGCGACTTTGACGCTATTTCTAGCAGCTTTTCAGATCCCCTTCTTGACTTTTTAAATCTAAAAGTACCTAGCGAACATCTCAGAAACATCTCTGGTAACCCTTAGCTACTTTCTGGATAACTGTCGCTGACATTTCCTGCAGGTTAGCTAAACACTCCGCCTGAGCTCCGGACCGTTCTTCAGGACATTAGGAAAGGGAATGATGTAGTGATGCGTTGGTCGCTAAAGAAACGGCTCTCGGAGCCGGCTCCATGTTGGATTAACCAGAGTGAGTGACACACACCGTACCTGCGGACTCCTGAGCGGATAAAAACAGCTAAATGTGCGCGTGCGGCGCGCTAAACACGTGCAGCTTGCCCCTGATTGCTGTGAGACCGGGTTGGGGGGTGGGGGGTGCAGCTGTGGTTGAGACAATTATTACATTAACTGATCGACCTGTAAATAGTTTATAAATAAGGTAGAAATAAGTTCCTCACGCTGATAACTAATCTCTCTGAGGACACAGTGCTAGTGCACTCTCCTACAGCACCTTGACACGACTTCAATAAATGTTATGCAACATTTTGTGAACATCAATTTATTTGCATGTATTTGTTATAAATGCCACTGTATAATTCTTGCTGTCAGTATTTGCAAGATATTGGTATTTGGGTCTGTACTAGTAAACCAAGGTCTATAGCCCTTGGATCATAGACTATGAGCTATAAGTATATTGGTCTTTTTATACTGGGAACCAGGAGTTATTTTAGTGATCATCTTGTTTCCTATTTATTTTTGTCCTGATTGTGCCCTGAGCAGTTTTATGACTAAATAAAAAAATCTACATAAATTGAAAAATCGTCTTAAATAATCGATCTCAATTTCAGTCATAATAATCGTGATTATTGTTTATGCCATAATCGAGCAGCCCTACTTTAGCATATCCAGTCACATAATGATGACGTCATATTCAGTGGTCGTTCTGCATCATTTCAGGCCTTGTGGTCAACTGTCTGAACCGCTGAACAGAAGTGCCTGGCTTATTTTCTAAGTAAAATAAATACGTTGTCAACATCAGTGAGTCTCTAAGTCTATTCTTTTTGTATGTTATATATGTTAAAATATGTGTAAATAGGTCGCTGATTAACACTTGCAATTTAGTGTTGTGATGGTTTTAAAAAAATTCTGAAGGTAGTAAAAAAAGTATCAAAAAGTAGTAAATTTTACTTAAGGATTGCTGTATATACCCTGTAATAGTTATGAAACACTACTCAATGTAATGTGTTTTCAGTCCTCATATTTCTGAAACTTTATGGACAAATTTTGTATTTTCACTATTGTCACGTGGCATCAATTTTGCAGTTACCAGAACGTGTCCTAATGGACATATTGGAGAGTTTTGTGAGAGTTTTTGATCATTCTTCTTGGAGTACTATAGCAAAAACTGTAATGCTCTTGTGGCAAGGTGGATAAACAAGGGCCCGGGCGGGATTCGATCCCCAGACTCCCGGGTGAGAGTCATACACTCTAACCAGTCAGCCAAAGGGACTGATCAAGGATGATCAATCGGGACATTGTGACAGGACACTCACACTGTCACACTCTGTTTGAGAAAGTGAATCTGTTGGGCTTGTACCTGGTACTCAGAGTACCACACTGCCAGAAAGGGCACGCTGAAAATAAAAAGCTTTTTATTTCCATCAATATGTATCTCCTTATTCAAATAATCTGGGTTGTAACCATCCTCTCAATCCTTTTTCTGTTGTTCATGCTCTTGTAATCTGTTGTTTGTGTTCCGCATTATTACAGTAAACCTGTGGAAATTATAAAGTGGTCCTGTGTTATTTTATATGGATATAAACATGAGTGTAGTTAAATCTGTATTTAATATGTTTAACTTATGAATACCTTGAGAAACTATTTTCAAACATTAATTGTGCAACATTGTGAAAATGATCACTATGGTATTACAAAGAATTAAGTTATTTCAAGACAAAGTGGCAAACGAAGAAATCTAACACAAAAGTAGAAAGTAAACAAATTTTAGGTGATGAGCCAAATTGGCTTTTGTGCAAGAATATATTACATTTCATATTGGAAAACATTCATAGGACATGTAGTGCAAATTAAGAATATCTGCTGTATCACAGTGACACATTTTCATCTTTTAAATGAAAATATAACCTATTTTGTGGAGAAAAAACAAACATGTAATAGGTTACCTGAAGACTAATCAGCCAGTGTTTACTGACAATTTACAGTGGACATTATCAACAGAACATCAAGATAATTCAAATCAATCGTCTCCACACATACAAGCATAAACACACTAAATCAAATTTAACACGCATATAAAAACATGATTTGTAACAACGCAAATTCAGTTTACAATCGGGCTAATTCGCTCGGTCAGCAAGTGGCAGTATCCTCGTACACTGCGGAGTAAACTGCCATTGAACGGATCACAAGAAGAATAGAGCATCTGCACATGCGCGGTACGGATCAGGTAGACCCGATCTGTACGGTCCGACGTTTTTTTTTTTTTTCATTTTTATCTACATTAAATTGAAATGTTTCGCTATTGCAAACATTTAAATAGATACTTATTATTTTTTAACATCTTAACAGATACTCTGACCCGTAACTATCGTAAAATGCTTCGAGCGGAAGTAGACGCCTTTCGCGCATGCGTGGTACCGATCGGGTTTCCGGTACGGATCGGGTAGCGACAGCCACATTTGGGAGAATATTGGCTCACCGCAGAGACGAGCCGCATGAACCATAAACACTGCAAGTTGTGAAGCGCGTTCCATCCGCGAGCCGCATCACCAAGCAGAAAGTAATTGCGTCAAGCATAAACCAAGCATTAGTCGGCTCCTCCTGCCGGACATCTTTTCTCATAAAATGTTGATCTTGTCTCCGAGTCTGAGCATCACTTTAGACATCATT